CCCTGAGTCTGTGCTGCTGCCCAAGGCTGCAGGGGACATGGCTGCACGGCGGGTGGTCCAGGACTTGCTGGTGGCAGCCGGAGAGCCAGTGGCTGAGGTTCCAGCCCATGTCCGGAGGGCACTGGCTTTGGGGATGGTGGAGGGTGTGCGGGAGGCGACGGCGGGCCACGTGCGGGAGGTGCTGCGGCGCCACGGGGCCGTAGGCCTTCCGGCCGCTGACCGGCTCTCCCTTCTGCGCTATGTGGCTGGGGATGGGTGCCATGCTGAGCTGCAGGGTCTCCCCCTCCTGCCTTGCGCCGATGGGACCTTCGTGGCCTTTGGGAATGTGTCAGCCATTGTCTACGTGGACACATCTGACTGCCCCAGGTGAGTCCATGGCCCCAGGCAGCCCCATTTCCTACAGGAGTAGGCAGGTGAGCTGATTGCCCAGGGCACAGCTCCCACTCGAGCTGAAAGGGGGGGCAGGGTCAAACCTGGACATTTGGGTGCCTCACCACCCTCTTCCTCTCCCCTAGTCTCACCAAGTGGGAGCTGAGTCAGGTGTCCAGGAAGCTGCCTGCCCCCCATTACCCCTGTAGTCCCCCAGTAGCTCCATTTGTCCCCACAGGGAGCTCCTGCCCGGCCTGGCTGGGTCCTTCCTGCCCTCAGACCTGGAGCCAGGCTTGGACAACCTCTTGCGAGGCATTGCCAAGGCGGGTAAGAGACCAGGGGTCCCTGGGCCACCTTTGGGTCCACTGATCTCCCTCTAAACCCCAATGCCCCTAGGCACCCTTGTACACCCTTGGGCTCCTCTGCAGCCCCAACATCCCTCTGTACCACGCTGATACTGCCTGTACACAGCTGGGGTCCCTGATCCCTGCCTGAGGCCCCTCTCTGGGCTTCCCCCATCCATTCAACAGCACTGTAGATCCCAAGTCTCACTATCTCTCTCTGGTTTGGGGTGTTTTGTCTGAGGCCAGGGCCACCTCTCCTACCCTACATCTCCCTGTATCTCTGGGGACTCCCTTGTCTTCAGTCTTCTTCCCACATTCCCCCATTCCCTCTGTGCTCCCTCAGATGCTGGCTCTCCCTGTGTTCCCCATCTGAGGACCTTTGTGCCCCCCAGTACTGGTCCCCCTAACACCTTTCCCTCTCACTTCTCCTCTATCCCCACCAATCTGGGGTTCCCCTGTTCCTCCTATTCAGGGTATCCTGAATAGTCCTATTCAGGACTGTCCCTCCAGAGCCCAGGTCCTCCCATCCCCAGTATGGGGGCCACCCCTTCCCCTGAAGATCTCAGGTTCTTTCACACACATCCTGGGTCCCCCTGCCAGGTCCCACATACTCCTTGTCCAGCCTCTGCCTCCTGCATACAGGTCTATTCCCCAACCTGGTTCTACTGGACCCAGACGTGACTGCCCAGACCCTACGCTTGGCTCTGCCCCCCACCTGGACGTCCCAGTCTTCAACTCCAGTGACGTGGTGCCCAGCCCAAGGACTCCCCCAGCCCCCAGCCTCCTGGTTCCCAGCCCTGTGGAGATTCCTGGCCCACCATGTGGAAGACCTGGGCCCTCTGGAGGGGCTCGCTCTCATCCCCCTGTCCCCACTGGATTCCCCCAGCATCCGTCTGGCTCCACTGATACCCCAGTCTGGTCTTATCTTCCAGGCATGGGAGGACCAGTGCCTGCCACCTGCTGTTGCCTCTGTTCTGGAGGTCCTGGGTTGCCCAGTGGTGCCGCCGGGCACATGGCACCGTTCCCTGTCCCGCTATGTCCTGCCTCCATCCCCCCTCAATGCCCTGCGGGCCCTGGGCAGGCGGGGAGCTCCAATTGTGGCCTCCCACCTGGCCTCGCTGCCTGCTGCGGATGTGGTCACCCTCCGGCTCTACCTGGCAGACATCCCATCCCTAACAAAGCAGGACAGGGCCACACTGGCTGCTCTGCCCCTCTTCATCCCACTGCCCTGCTTGGCCACCCCGCAGCCCACGGAGCTGGTACCGGCCGGTGCCACCCCAGCAATGGAGCCAGAGCTGGAGCTGCCCAGAGACGTGGTGCTGCCAGATGCCATGTTGCAGTGCCGGGATGAAGCTGACCGGCGGCTCCTGGGGAGGCTCCAGAGGTCCCTCATGAGTGCAGCCCACGTGGCACTGGAGGCCATCAGAGCTGTGGCCCGGGGCTGGGTGCTGCGGCACGGAGACATCCTCTTTGCACAGAGCCCCTTGCTCCAGCAGGCCTGCAGCAAACTGGCCTTCCTGGAGACCCCCAACGGCCCCATGTGCCCGCGAGACCTCTACGACCCCTGCGAGAGCACCTTGCAGGCACTGCTGGGCCCTGAGCGCTTTCCCCCTGCCGCCTTCTGCAGTCCACCTGTCCTCCGTGCCTTGAGAGCCGTGGGCTTACGGCATGGTGAGGGGTGCCTGGTGCCTTCAGACATCCTAGAGGCTGCAGCAAGTGTGAGTCAGGGCAACGCAGCAGCTCTGGACAGGGCTCAGGCACTGATCAAGGTCTGCAACCGCCCCAAGGCACTGGCTGGCTTCAGTGCTGCAGAGCTTAGGCAGCTCCAGGCCCTGCCATGGATCCCTCGTTCCAAGTGCACTGGGAACCCTGGGCAGCCCTTCCTGTCCCCGAGGGAGCTGCGGTCCACCCAGTTCCAGCCCCTGGTGGGGCTTGCCATGCACCTGACTGGCGCCTTTGTGCCAGAGGCAGAGAAGAAGCTGGGACTGAGCCAGACCCCACCACCAGAGAGAGTGTGGGAGCAGCTGAGACAGCTGGCAGGGTGCAGGGACATTGGTGAGGTAGGTACTGCACTCCGGCCTGTCTACTGGCATATGCAGGAAAACTTGAAGACCTTTGGGGCTGCCCCACATGATGCTGTGGTGTGGACTGGGGCTGGGTTTGTCCTGCCATGTGATGCCGTGCTGGGCTATCCTGAGGAGCTGGAGCTGGGGATGCTGGTGCCCCAGGTGCCCCCTGACTTCCTGCCCTATAGTTGCCTCTTCAGGGCTTGGGGGGTGGAGGCAAGGGTGAGTGAGAAGAGGGCGGTTGCAGCCCTGCACTGCCTGGGGCAGGACATAGACAAACGCAGCTCCAGAGCTGGCACTGTAGCAGAATTGCAGGTGGTTGTAGCTGTCCTGGAGTGGCTTAAGAGCCGGGGGCACCAGGGCGAGGGCACAGTGCCAGTTCCTGTGAAGATCCTGGAGGGCTCGGGCTTTGCCCTCCGCCCGGCTGCCTCTACCGTGTGCCTGGACATGGAGCTGGAGGAAGAGGAGGATGTTCAGGAGGTGGTGCATGAGGCAGTGCCATCCAGCACAGCCATATTCTTCGGCACGGAGCTGCTCAGTATGCGGGTGCTGGGGCCAGAGCCGTTCACGGCCTGTGGCCCCTCGGAGCCCATCACCTTACGACTTCGCAACATCCTCCGCGAGTATGGCGAGGAGGGCGATCTCTTCACAGAGATTGTCCAGAATGCAGAGGATGCTGGAGCTACTGTGTGCCGCTTCCTCCTGGACCTCCGACGCCACAGAAAGGCCACCTCTAGGCTGCTAGACCCTGGCATGGCTGCCTGCCATGGCCCAGCCCTCTGGGCGTACAACAATGCCCTGTTCACGGAGGATGACCTCCGTAACATCACACGGGTTGGGGCTGCTACGAAGGAGGGCCAGGCAGGCCAGATCGGGCGCTTTGGGCTGGGCTTCAGCTCTGTCTACCGTGTCACAGACGTGCCGGCAGTGCTGAGTGGGGAGACACTGCTCATCTTTGATCCCAACGGCACCCATCTGGGCAAGCACATCCCCAGGGCTGGCTGCCCTGGCATCCGCCTGGATTTCTCCAGCCGACCACGCATCCTCCGTGCCTTTGCTGAGCAGTTCTGGCCCTACCATGGTATCTTTGGGTGCCGCCTGCCTGAGCCAGGACCCTTTCCAGGGAGCCTTTTCCGCCTGCCTTTTCGCACTGAAGAGGAAGCTGTGACATCACAGATTTGCTCAGAGGCCTTTGGTACAGAGCGTGTCCAGTCCCTTGGCACCAGCTTCCTTGGCTCTAACTGGCTTCTGCTGCTCTTCCTGCGGAGGGTGAGGGAGGTATCCCTGGAGATGCTGCCAGACATGGCCACCTCTGCGGAGGATACCATGCCTCTGGCTATGCTGCAGCGAAAGGAGATCCGAGACTTGGGGGCCCCTGGGGACCCCCCAAGCTGGGCAGCCATCGAGCAGCTCACAGCCTGTGAGGAGGCATCCAAGACCACATGGCACTACCTAGTTTTGGTGTGTCAGGGTGAAGGGGAGTTGCTGGAACTGTTTCACCAGAACACACAGGCAGGGCTCCATCTTCTGCCTCCCATGGCTGGTGTGGCCCTTCCCCTTGCCCTTACTGCAGATGGCAAGTGGGTGCCACGTCTGGGTGCCGAGGAGGGGCAAGTCTTCTGCCACCTTCCCATGCCAATCACCTCAGGACTGCCAATCCACGTGCATGGGGCCTTCAGCATCCTCTCAAACCGCAAGGGACTGTGGGACACGGCAGAGCAGGGTGAGTGGAACCGGGTGCTGCTCCGCAATGCTGTGCCAGTTGCCTGGCTCCGGGCGCTGGACCACCTCCGCACCATGCATGAGGCAGGTGAGTTGAAGAGCTATGAATATCATATCTTCTGGCCGGACACTAACACTGCCCGTTACCCCTTTACAGAGGCTGTGACTGGTTTCTACCAGGCTGTGGCAGCCAGGAATGGCCCCAGGCTCTTTTCTGATGGCTGCTCATGGTGCTCACTGCGGGATGCCCGCTTCCTGCACCAGGCTGTTGTCAGACACCCCAAGCTCGGTGCCGTGGCAAAGCGTGTCTTTGCCACCACCCTGCCTCATCCCCTGTTAGCTGTGGACTTGCCCGAACAGGTGCAGAGGGGCCTTGGGAAGGCAGTGGATGCTGGCACCTATGACTGGCCCCGCTTTTACTGCGAGCTTGTGCTTCCCAACTTGGAAGACCTCTCCGTTGTTGACCGGGACACACTGCTTCTCCATGCACTGGATATGTCCCATGATGATGTGGACAAAGTGCTGCAGACAGTGCCCGGCATTACTGCCACCCCTCATGGCTCCC